CTATACAAAGCAATATAAACTCTATCAAATTCATGATAGCTCGTTAATTATTAAAGTTGGTTAATTTAAACTCAATATTTTATCTGATAAATTATTATACCAGAATAAAGGAGTGCTAAGGAAAAGAAGACAGGATCTCTGAGAGATAGAGTTGAGATTTGAACCTGCCCTTAGTGCAGTATTTGTTGGTAAGGTAAGTAATAGATGTGGGTGGAAGTTCAATCGTAGATCCAAAAATATCCACAATATTGGCTATCTTAGACAAAATAAGATCTTTTTTGATTTTGGGGACCCCATAAAAATTTACTATAGTCTTTCATAAATTTAATTAAAAAATTTAATGGACCCAGTTAAAATATTTTGATGGAAACAGTTTATCCAGGAACTTACTAGAATTTTCTAAAAGATAATCAGGCTATAATAGTATGACTCGACATTCCGAAAGAGTCATCCTATTAAGATTAAGAGTGAGAATCTTTATATAATGTCTGAGTATAAAAATATATATATTAATCATATTTATTCAAAATAAATGTATAAATTTATTTTAGCTAAATTTTGAGTATTAACTAATGACACTTTAAGTAGATCTTTAAAGAATATTGTGCAAATATTTTCAACCAAAAATAATGATTTTCATCAAAGAGAATTAAATCTTAGACTAAAATAAAAATAAGCCCATTTTAGAAAATAAATAATAAAAATTTATTCCTCAATTCTAATTATTTCCCCCAGAAAATATCATTTAAATAAATAAACTATTTTTTTATAAAAGTATTAAACATCAATTTTGAATGAAAAATAAAACTAACTTTGACTGAATAAGCTGATTAAGTTATAGATCTTAATGTTTTTTCAAATTTTGTTAATTGATATTTAAATAATAAATTGTTAATATACTGAATATGACAACTTTTATAATTTCATAATTCAATTTCTGATTTGATATAATCCAAATTCTTTGTCTTATATTTAACTTTTATGAAAAAGTATAATAATAAAAGAGCAATTATTGAAAGCAGAGCATATATCCATCCTCGACTAGAATAATCTAATTAAGGAAGTTTAAAAGTAATTTCATAAGTACCATTTGAAAATAAATTAGAGCAACCTATAGGAAGCATTATTTTTTTTGTATGTCTATTAATATGACACGTTACATTTTAAGTACCTATTGTTTATGTAAAATTTTATTTTGTGTTGTTCCAAAATGATGATAAGCAAATGCCATTAATGTATGTTTAATTAAAAATTATTTCACATTTTGATGATGATACATTAAATGAACTTTACATTAAAAGGGGTTAATTCTAGTTTTCTTCATTAAAATTATCTATATAGTAGATTGCTATGGTGTAATTATTTCCAGATTTAAATTGTTACATCAAAACATCATTATAATAAAAAGAATTACCAAAATTTAATAAATTACCATAACTTGGAATGGTTTGGATAACATGGGAAATAAAATTATTACCTAAATTTGATTAAGATACTAAGTTTGCAGGTGCTATTTTGGCATTGATAATATAGCTTAAATAATTTTTATATTCTTTATTACCTTGGTTAAAATTATTCAAACTTATAAGGATAACTACATTATTATAAAATGCTTTTAAAATTTAAATATAGACAAGGCTCACAATATTATAGTCCTAGTTACTAGTAAAATATTTCTAGTATAATAATAGATTATTAGCAAAAGGTTCTGATATTTTTAATTTGTTATTGCCTTCAATATATATTAATTGATAACAAATAATCTCCACCTGAGTATAAAAAACGATTATTGTTTTTGATTAATTAAAATTATTAGAATTCGACAATTAAGCTACAGAAAAATCTTTACATAAACTGGTTAAAATCCTTAATTTTGAAGACTACATAAACCAATAAAGTAAAATAATTTAATTCTATTGTGCAAATTAGGTTCATACGGTAGGTTATAGGGTTTTTTTTCAATAAAATAATAATTACTACTATTTCAAGATTATTATATCTTCAACAAATAATTT